ACATTCTTTTTCCCTTCAATATATTATTTTATTTTTATGTTCTGTTTGATTTTTTTATTAAGTAGAAAAGGTTATTGTGTAATGCTGCTCCCGATAATCTATCCGTTTATCTTGTGTACTCTTTGTAATAGGACCTGATATACACCGAGCATGAAGGCACTTTATTCTACTGATATTTTTGTAGTAATATTTTTGTGGATGGTTGTTTGCCAGGAATTGTAACAGATGTAACTTAAAAAGATTATTACAGTTTTAACTTTTTTTTGCGTGTTTTAATATTTTTTCGGTAGCTATGAATATGAGTCCTCCCTTTTTTTTCTTTTTTGGTGGCCAAAAACATTATGTTGTGATTGTTTGTCTGTAAATCATCTTTGGAAGAAGCTACAAATTTTCACAATTGGCAATTACCGGAAAACTGTAACTGCGACTGTACTTTTCCTGTTGTATTGCAAATTACAACTGCAATTGCATGTTTCTATGCACCAAACTAAAGAAGTTGTCATCTATTTTGTTGCACTTTTCTATGAGCCAATTTTTCACAAGAAAAATGTCTCAGGGACCTCAAAATAGGGGATCCTGAGAAAAATAGGGGATCCTGAGTGGGACAGGTCAAGTGTAGCGTCCCTGTGCCGTGATATACTGTTCATAATACTGTTCATAAACATTACATCACGGGACAGGGAGGCGACACCTCACCTGTCCCACTCAAGGTCCCCTATTTTGGGTGCAGCACTCTTTTCACAATTCGGCTGGTCTCCTGTGTATTGGTCTCACTGTCACATAAATAGTGAACGGGTAACCCCAACTCTTTATTGATCACTAAAATACACAAAGTTACATTTGGTACTTGTTCCATCAATCCCTACAGAAGTTTGCGCAAATTGTTCCATGATATTATAACAAGGTTGCAAGCTAGCTTCAGATCAATTTTTGTCCACAGACAGGAAAAACAGAATACGATAATCAACTCAAAGATTATCTCATGTTGCATTTACAAAAACAAACACACATCAGTCAATCTTGATCGCAATGGCTTTGTAGAAACCAACACTGTTAACAAGCTACACTGCAAAAGCTATTAAGCTTCTCTCTAAACAACCAATCACTCAGAAAAAAGCAAAAACTTTTGATATCAGCCTTTGGACATTGAAAGAAGACCATATAAGATCAAGGGAAGGAAGCAAAATAACATGACAACAAGCCAAAAGAAGCCTTTCCTATCGCTGCATACCATTACAGATGTAGATATTGCTTCAGTGAAAATATCCAAGCACTTGACCGCCAACATTTTGCTTAATGGCTTCCTCATGATCCAAAACACCATTTGGAGTTGTAATCACAACGTATCCCCACTGCAAAATTATGACCAAGTGTTAATGCTCAACTTTGTCCATGAAAAGTTGGAGACATGAGTTGCACTATATGAGGAAAATCCTCAATATCAAAATTGAACACCAATTTTCTTTGTGAAGTAAACATTCCTAAATGCAATTTCAAAGCTCCTTTGACAAGCATCTCAGTTCTATAAGTTCGAGAAAACATGTCCAGCTTTTGCGTAGCTCACTAAATACTTCTATTTGTAATGATGCTTCTAATTTTCCATAATTTACACCATTACTCCATCCGGAGTATTTCAAAAAACTAAAATAAAAACAAAATAAAATTTTAATGTTAAAACATCATCAGCCAGACTTTCAACAATAGAATGCTGTCACAGTGGTGTGTGGATCAACAAACTTCATAAAACAATTGACTGCAGCTATCTACCTGATGCCAGTTGCTGAAATTAGTCTACTAAATTCCCTACTAAGCAAAGCATGAGCAGGAGACAGTCTTGCCATTTAAATCTAATAGGCAACTTCACAAATATCTAGGGTACCCTCTTTCATAGTGTACTTTACTTGTTTAACCTGGGATCACACCTCTAAATTCCCGGAGTCTATATCAGAGACTAGAGACACGGGTAAACTATAAGGTTGCCCATACTGAATGGCATCCAACATGAATGTACACTAAAAAGGCTTAAAATGAACATTCCAAATGCACGATAATAAAAATCCTAAATAACAACTATTTATATTATCAAACTGACAAAGGCAAAAATAGAATCTAAAAGAATGAAACTTCTGTAATCCCCAACTAAAGAAAAAGATAACTGTCATAATAAAATGCTAGATGCTTCCTACAGATCAGCGCTGATGAGATAAGATCATGAGACCACAATTAAAGAATAAAGAGTAGTTTCTGGCCATGGAAGAACTAGTTTTCTGACTGTCCAGTTAAAATTATAAAAGAGGAGAGATTCCATCCTATAAGTTTTAAAGTTGTCTGAATTTCATCAATTCTATAATACTTGTGATAAGATTAAAATGGCTTCCTACAGAACAATAGGTTGCAAGAGGGGATTTTCACATTTATCAAGTCTCTAAAGATACATACGCTAGGAGAGTTTTTGATAATTCAGACTTAAAACTCATAGCAAGCCGTTAATATGGAGACAATGGAATTAAAGTAGAGAAAAAGTACAACAAAGGGATGTATACATCTCAATAATGACCATCTAACAGATGACTAGTCACTTAAGATCTACAGGCAATGAATAGAAAAAGATCCAGTTTCATGCATTTCCAATGGTCTATCATTTGCTGTGTATATCAGAATGCGACAAACCTGACGTGTTGGTAGGGCCCGCAGACGATATTTTTCAATATCTGTAGCCTTGATGTCCTGCCTGTGCATAATCGCCTTGCAATCTTTTATCCTACCATGCAATTCGACAGTAATCTTTCCCACTCTATGAGGGTCAAAAACTTGAAAATCTTTGATATATCCTACAAAACATTTTCCATGGAGTGAGTAAAAGACCACTAATTGCAGAGAAGGGGACTAAAAATAAATCTTTAGACTACAATAAAAGCTTGTATCCTAGTTTGATC